TTTTTGAAGTTGAGTGTATCGCAGAGTTATATTCGGAAAGAATAAACCAGTTTATTAAGTAAAGACTTGTGTCGTTAAAGTTTCGTTGGAACGAAGTTACGGAAAAATCAATTAACAAACGGAGACGTAACAGTAATATAGTGATAGATGGGGAACTAATAGTGTTAAGAGGTATAGATCAGATGGATTGTCCGTTTCATAATGCAGAGTTAATGGTTTATGTGGTTGTAATTCTAGAGCAGATGCAGAGAGGAATGTGGCTGGATTGATCCCTGCAATTGCTCATTCAATTTCTAGATATTTCATCCTAAAGTGGTGTCCTTTCGTACATTTTCTACAGCTCTCTCGATATCAATGCTATAATTTTTTGTATTTCACTGGTGTTCTTTTGTACATCTTCAATTTTAATATTATAATTTTTCTGTACCCTATCTGTAGTTTTTCAACTCTAAATTTTACATGTTCTCTCTTTCTTCTAACAAAGTGATCTAAATTCACAATTTTTCTATAAATCTTATATCTCGTTCTCGTAAATTTCATCCTAAATTTCTGCTTCCGTTTATTTTATTTTTTTGTTTCTTTATTGTTTTCCCACCGTTTCATCAATTCCGGCAAATTTTCGACCTCATACACACACACAGTTGTTCAGCAGTAAGTCTGCAGGCTTGTGAAATTAAATCCGGCTTTCAATACCCATTGTGGGAGGGCACAGATAGCCTATTGTGTAGCTTTGTGCTTAACTGTAACCAAAAACCAATTCTATTGTTGTAATTTAGGTGTTTGTTTGTTAGAAGGTGCGTGTCATTATGTTACCATTATGGTATAACAACCATGGCAATGGTAATGCTGTAACATTGTTCTTTTGTTGACAGTTTTTTAATAATCTGGTAAAAAATAATATAACGTCCAGTCCACGTAAATATCACTGATTTGTTTATTCCATCATTTATGATTTCTACAAGCTTGAACGCTTGTACACTGTCATAAATTGTTTTAGGCCTACGTAACAAATGATATTCAAACCTCTCACAATACTTAGGCTAACGTAAAATTAAATTAACTTACTTTTACGAAGTGACTGCGGAAGCTAACACATTGCCTGATTCAGTCTACTATATCAAAAAACAACAATTTTTTAACTATGTCATACATATAATTTGCTTTTGAATTTATGCTAGAAATTTCACTTTACCTTCTCAGAACTTCCTAGGTATTTTAGGCTTATCTTATTAAACCTTATAATCTGAATGTCAAATTAAGACCCGCA